TGATGTTCACCTTTTTTCCTTTTTTGGTTAAATCATTTGGTTTTATTATCTCTTTTCTAAATATTGGTTATAGTTCTCACTATGGTTTGATATGTGATGGACTTAAACATGTAGGAATAGATTTCACTTCCACAGAGAAATGTGCCATCTCCTGCTTTTTTAAAACCACATTATCTTCTTGGTCTAGCTTTTATGTTTATACTTGTGTTAGTCCATTTCTGTTGCTTATAACAAAATGCCGGCAACTGTGTGATTTATAAAGAAAACAAAACTTATTGCTTATGGTTTTTGAGGCTGGGAAATCCACAGTCCAAGGAACACATCTGGTGGTGGCAGGCAGTGACCCCTCACATTGCAAGATAGTGGAAGTAGAAAGAGCAGAGAGAGAGCAAGAGAGAGACAGACTCTCCTCTCTGTTCTTTTAAAGCCCTTCACACCACGCCCCTGACCACCATTATTAATTCATTCACTACTGCACGGTCCTACAATCCAATCACCTCTTCAAGGCTCCACCTTTCAATTACCACAGGATTTCCCACCCTCTTAACAGTCACAGTGGGGGCTAAGTTTCTAATACATAAAATTTGGGGGACACAATTCACGCTTCAGTGAGTTTTGGGGGGACACAATTCAATCCACTTGTTTAGATTGTTATATTTCAGTCTAAACAATCACTGTTTAGATTGAACTATGTGTACAAGAAATACTTTACTTTCCTTTTATTTCAACTAAGATAAGATCAACAGAGTAAGAGTGATGACATAAGGAAAGTGACATTCAGCCTCAGAGTCAGGGAGATAAAGGGAATGATGAAGACCGTGGTGAATCATTGTCATCTGAAGGGTACAGCTGTGTGGCTCCAGGCAAATTTTGCCAGGTGGGAATTTGGGTTCAGTATTGCTAGACCTCCTGCTTTTATCTGATTTTTATGTAAAATCTCCTGATTTTTAAGTGTTGGCAGCTAGTTCATGTGGGCCATTCCTATGCGGGCCAAACAAAATAATCTGGGGGCCTGTTCTGCCCATAGGCTGTCGATATGGTATTTCTGGTAGAAAGACCAGAGAGTCAGCAAACACAGTAAACCTTCACCCCACATGAGCACTAAAACTCTTCTCAGTGTTTTGGAAGCTCTTCAGTGCCTAGAACAAAACCTGACACGTGTGTTCAATGAGTGTGCAAGTTAGGATGGTGGAGACACTTTGTGTTGTACTTGTTCAGACCGTGGGGATATGAACGAGTTATTTTTCATCTGACCTCATTCTCCGCCTCTTGAGCTATGAGTGCTGGACTGGAGCCAGAGGATGCCACATCAGCTCTGATGTACCATAAGTGCTGAAAGCCTCTGTCCATAAAGCCTCCCTCACTTTCCAGCCAGATATCCACTCTCCTTGTGCTCAACTCCCATAGCACCATAAGCTGCTTCTTTCTTCTAGAACTTAGCAATTCTTCCCTGAATTTTATTTTTGCTTATCCTCCAACTAACCACCAGTTGAGAGTGCCTCTAGGGCAAGAGCCATGTCTAATTCACTCCAGGGCCCACAGATTAGGTAGGTGTTTAGTAATTGCAGCATGGATGAGCTAACATTTTATTCTCAACAACCTATGAGAAAGGTACTATCATAGGATTGACAGTGGTCACATAGACATTAAGAATGTAGGCTCCTGGAAGATGGCAGAGTAACAACCTCCAAAAGTTGTCTTCATAAAAGCTATGAGAAAATTGGCAAAAATGGTCAAAACCAACTTTTTCAGAACTCTGGAAATAACCAAAGGCTTGCAGCAATCTGGGAAGTGTTTATTCAAGAAAAATGACTGAATCTCAGTAAGAATATTCCTATTCCTGTAAACCCCCTCTAGCTCTATGTTAGACTTGGATATCAACAGCTCAGAATAACAGTGAAAACTGGATTCTGGCAGTCACTGGAGGGTGAAGAATGGGATTGGAGATCCTTGAAAGGCTCATTCCCAGAGAACTGTCATTACTTTACCTGTCTGGTGCTTCTTAGAAGACCCTATTTGTAATGCTATCTTTATTTGGCCTGACGTGGAGTTCAAAAAAAATTTACTTTGGGACATTTGTTGAAACAGTTACAGACATCTGGTTAACTCTGTGCCTGGCTGACAGTTGGGCAAACAATAGACTGACCAAAAAGCTTAAAAAGAAAAGCTGGGGAATGAGATGTCCTTAAAGACTTTGAAAAACTCTGACATGTTCCTAAGAATATGGAGGGTGACATGCATGCCCAGAGCTGTGTGCAAGCTCAGAAGAAAATCTAAGAAGACTCTAAACTCCTGCTGATCCTGAGACTCCGCGTAAGCAGGAAGTGAAGGCTAAGGTAGAGTCGTCAGATTCCCTGCTGAATGTTAAAGATGGGCCCCAATCTGCAAACAGAACCCCTTGGCAAACACTGGGAGACTTACTGGTTCCAGACTAAGGAAATCTCTGTCAAGTTATTAGTAAGCAGTAATCTAACTGAGCTGAGATTTCAGTGGCTACCCATAATAAAGAATACAGACTTTTCAGAGTTAGTTCAGAAACATCCCTGACCAAACAGTAACATAAAACAGAAAAAAAAAAAAAACAGAAATGATCTGATTTCCAGAGTTGCACATAATATTATTTAAAATGTTCAGTTTTCAACAAAAGTTATGAGACATACAAAGAAACGTGAAAGAATGGTCAATGCACAGGAAACAAAGCAACCAACAGAAACTGTCCTTGAGGAAGCCTAGACATTGGACTTAACTAGACAAAAATTTTATGTCAGCTATTTAAAATATGTTGAAAGAACTGAAGGAAACCATGTGTAAAGAACTAAAGGGAAGTATGAGACAGCTTGTCTCACCCAATAGAGAATACCAATAAAGAAATGATAAAAAATAACTAGAAATTTTGAAATTGAAAAGTACCGAAATGAAAAATTCTGTAAAGGGGCTCAACAGCTGACTCATGTTGTGTCTTAGTTTTCTGTTGCTTATAACAGAATACCTAAAATTGGTAATTTATAAAGAAAATACATTTTTATCTATTATTTATTTATTTTTGGGGGGTGGCTGGCCTGTACAGGGATCTGAATCTGTGATCTTGGTGTTATAAGGCTGTGCTCTAACCAACTGAGCTAACCAGCCAGCCCAAGAAAAGAAATTTATTTCTTACAGTTTTGGAGGCTGGGAAGTCCAAAATTGAAGGAGTGTACCTGATGAGGCCTTCTTACTGGTAGAGACTCTACATAATCCTAAGGTGGTAAAAAGTATCACATGGCAAGAGGGCAAAGCATGCTAGAATGCTCAGTAAGTCTCTTTCTCTTGTTAAAGAAAAAGCCACTAGTGCCACTCTCACAGTAACCCATTATTCCATTAATAATGAATGGACTAACCCATTCATGATGGGGCAGAGCCCTTAAAATCCACTCACCTCCTAAAGGCCTCAACTCTTAGTATTGGCACATTGGGGATATATTGGCCCTGTAAGAAGTATTAAAGGGAGTCTGCAAGAAATACTAAAGGGAAGTAAAAGGACCCTAGATAGTAATTTGAATCCACATAAAAAAATAAAGAGTACCAGTAAACGTAACTTAATAGGCATATATAAAAGGTAGTATAAATGTATTTTTTGTTTGTAACTTCTTTTTCCTATCTGATTTAAAAGACAATTATATAAAGCAGTAAGTATAGATCTCTGTTGACAGGCACACAGTGTATAAAGATGAAGTATGTGTGACAATAACATCACAAAGGAGGCAGGGAGGAAATGGAGCTATATAGGAGTAAAGGTTTTATATATTATTGAAATTAAGTTGGTATTAATCAAAACTAGATTGTTATACATTAAAATTTAAATAGTAATCTCCAAGACAACCACTAAAATATGGTAGAAGAGATGACAAGGGAATTAAAATAGCACCCTAGAAACTAACACAAAAGAAGGCAGTAATAATGGAATAGAGGGGGAAAAGGCATAAGACCTAGGAAATAAATAGCAAAATGACATACATATATTCTGTCTTATCAGTAATTCCATTAAATGTATATGGATTACACATTCAGTAAAAAGGCAGAGATTAGCAGAATGAGTTTAAAAAATGATCCAATTTTATGCTGTCTTCAGGAGACTTACTTTAGGTTCAAAGACACAGATAGGTTGAAAATAGAAGAACGGGAAAACGTACCATGCAAAAAATAACTAAAAGAGCTGGTGTGGCTATACTAATATCAGACAAAATAGACTTTAAGATAAAAGATGTTATTAGGTACAAAGAAGGATGTTTGATAATAATAAGTAGGTCAATCCATCAAGAACATGCAGCAATTATAAATATATATGCCCCTAACAACAGAGCAGCAAATACATGAAGGGCTGACAGAATTGAAGGGAGAAATAGGCAATTCAACAGTTAGAGTTGGTGACTTCAAAAAATGTGGGTTCTTGCATCCCAGCTGCATAACTTTGAGTGAGTTGTCTAACCACTCTCTGCCTCGATGTCCTTGGGTGTAGAGTGGGGATGTGATCTTATTTAATAGGGTTGTTATAAGAAGCCTAATGTGCCTAATGTGTAGTGAGCACTCATTCAATGTTATGTCATCCTTACCCCCATTTTACAGGAGAGGAAATTGAGGCCTAGGTAGGTAAAGTGAATTGCCCAAAGCTTCACGGCCAATAAAAGGCAAAGCCAGGATTCAAAGCTAGGCCTATTGGCTCCAAAAGCCATGACTGTTACATACTGCCTGGAATTTCTGTTTTTCAGGCAGCTGTGTCTGAGACGCTGGTCCTCCTGCAAAGCCTCTGAGGTGGTCCTGGGCACACAGACATGGAAACAGTACTCTCTCTGCAGGTCTGAGCTGGAGTTCCGAATGGAATCTGGGCGGCCAGGGAAGGACTTCATCTGCAGAGCCATTGCTGGGCACGCAGGTATGAGGTGGGGAATGTGGTAGCTGTGTTCACTCCCACTGCTCACTCTCTGTCTGGACATGTCTCTGGTCAAGTCAACCCCCTTCTGGTGAAGTCATGGCATTTCAGCCAATGACTTGGAAAGCATCACTTGATGAGTGCGTATCTTGCTGTGTTCTGTATCATTTGTGTTATGTCATTTGATCCTGCAATAACCTTGGGAGGAAGGGCTCATTATGTCTGTTTCAGAGTAGGAAGAAACAGAAAGTAAAAGTGCAGGGGGTAGATTAAGGTTACATGGCTGGAGGGTGATGGGCAGTCCTGGGAGCAGAATCCAATTGTAACTCTAAAGCCCTAGTTCTTTTGCCATCCACACTGTCCCCTAAAGGAACGTCCATTGTGCTCCTGAGACAGAGAAGGAGAAATGGTTTTCTTGCTTGCCCTTTTACCAAGTTGAGTGTTCACGTCACAGGCCATCTGTGTCCGTGTTCTCTTACAGGACAGATAGAGGAGCTGGCTTACGTCTCAACTAGTGAGTACCGGTTTGACAGGAGGGAGAAGCCTGTGGTTTGCACGGTGTCCTCAGACTGCACTGTGCACACCTGGGATTTGCATGAGGTGAGCAGGCCCCCAGGAAGGGAAGGTGAGGATGAGATTGATTGAATCCTTACTGTGTCCTTGGTCAAAGTGTCTCAGGCCTTTTATCTTTATGATCTCATTTAATCGTCATGGAAAACTACTGAGGTGAGGAGTGGGAACCTTATTTCGCAGATGAGAAATCTGAGCTTGCAAGAGGATCAATTACTGTGCCAGGTCACACTGGTAACAAGCATGGGTGGACCCGTGTTTGAGACTCGAGTCTGACCAGTCTCAAGTGACACATTTTTGGCTCCTTGCTGCACTGACTTTGCCAACAGTGCCTGCTGGGGGCCGTGTTGGCACCTGCTTGGGATGGCTGCTGCCATGCTATCCCTCGCACCTTCATTGTGAGCATCATCGGACTTTGATCTGAAGTACTTGCCATTTTAAATAGAGTTGTCAGGGTAGGCCTTATCGTATAACTTCGTATAATGTATGCTATACGAAGTTATTACGTCCTAAAATGGATATCTTCCTGGAAAACTGTACGTTATTTCACATGTTTGAATGTCCTAGACAGGCAAAGGTACCTTTTGTGTCTTATTTTATTATGTAAATAAATAGTCTCTTGGTAAGTGTGTGCTCACCTCTCACTGTTCATCAGGTTTGCTGCAAGTGGATGCTGCCTCTAAAAAGTAGCAGGTTCCTCTCAAGTTAACTAGTACACAAGAGATCAACAGCAGGTAGGGAGGAGGGAGCACCCACCAGGGTGTCAGGAGACCAGGTGGAGTTCAGGTCTCAGCTGCACCCTAACTCCTTGTGGTGTCATGTCTCCTGAAAGAGAGAACTGCTTGCAGGGTGTGGACGTGTGGCCGCGGGCAGGCTAAGATTTAAAGGCGCTTGGGTAGGAAGAAGACTTGAGGGCTGGGACCTTCCACAGTTGTCAAAACGAAAAGATCTTAACTTGAATAGAGAAAGTGCTTTCACGTGGGGTAGGCATGTTTTTCTGTAAATGGCTAAATAGTAAATACTTTAGGCTTTGCAGGCCAGTCTTTGTCACACTAGTCAACTCTGCTGTTACAACATTAAAGCAACCATAGACAATAAGCAAACAAATGAGAGTGGCTATAGTACAGTAAAACTTTATTTATGGACACTAAAACCTGAATTTCATGTAATTTTCCTGTGTCATGAAATATTCTTCTGATTTTTTTTAATCCAAGATACAAAAATGCACACAATACAGAAACAGGCAGTGGGCTGGGTTTGGCTGCAGGCACAGTTCATCAAATCCTACTTTAGTGTGCTCCATTATTTCCAGTGGGACAGGCTCAGAGTGCCAGCGGCCCTTCATGCCATTCTGCCTGGCTTCCCAGCCCCAATACCCTTCATGAGCAAATCTTCAACCTTATTTTCTTTTAAAAAATTTTGGTCATATTGTTGGTGTTGTGGCTTACATGCTTTTGTCCCCTTGAAATTGATATAGAAACTTAATCCCCAATGCACCAGTATTGGGAAGGATATCCTTTGGGAGGTGACTGAGTCACGAGGACAGAGTCCTCATGAATGGGATTAAGTGGCCTTATAAAAGAACTTGATGGAGGGAATCTGCTTCTCTTGCCCTTCCATCTTCTACTGTGTGAGGACACTGTTCTTCTCCTCCTGAGGATGAAAGAAGAAGGCCTTCACCAGACAACTGAACCCAAGGGCACCTTGATTTTGGACTTCCCAGCTCCAGAAATGTGAGAAAATAAATTTCTGCTGCTTATAAATTACCCAGTCTCAGGTACTGTGTTGTAACAACACAAATGGAATCAAAGTAGGCTCTTCAGGTTGGCTTCTTTCATTTAGCAATACACGAAGTCCTTCCATCTCTTTTTGTGGCTCGATAGCTAATTTCTTTTTAGCACTGAATAATATTCCATTGTATGGATGTACACAATTTGTTTATCCTATTAAAGGACATCTTGGTTGCTTCCACATTTGGTGATTATAAGTAAAGTTGCTTTAAACATTCATGTGTAGGTTTTATTGCGGACACAAGTTTTCCACTCACTTGGGTACCAAGAAGTATGATTGCTGGATTGTGTGGTAAAAAGATCAAGAGTTGGGTGGTGGTGGGGATGAGGGTGGGTGCTGCATATGTGGAGCACAGGAGATTTAGGTCAGCAAAATTATTTTGCGTGATACTATAATGATAGATACATGGCATTATACATTTGACAAAACCCGTAGAATATAAAACACTAAGAGTGATCCCCAGTATAAACACTGGATTTCAGTTAATAATGATGTATCAGGATAGGTTCATCATTTATAACAAATGTACCACACCCATGCAAAAGGCTAACGGGAAACTGCAGGTGGGACAGGGGTATTTGGGCACTAAGGTACTACCTATACTTTCCACTCAGTTTTTCTGTAAGCATAAAACTGCTCTAAAAATAGAGTCAATTAATTTTTTAAAAGATTCAGCTGTTTCAAATTCAAGGTAAACATTTTCATAAAAATTTAAACAATAAAAATTAAAAAATTAAACAATAAATGTGTTTAAAGTAAAATTAATATTCTCTGCCCCTTTCTCCTGATCCTATGCACTAATGTTACCAGTATTAACCATTTGGTCTGTACCCTATTTTATTATGCAAATACGTACAGGCACACTCGTGTATGATTATGTAGAGAGGAGCTTGGTTGTTAGAAAGTATTACTTTAATTTCTTAAACAAGATAAGATTATCTTGCACACACTTCTGTAAGTTGATGGACATTCCTTCTTGTCAACTTGTATACAAGTAGCTCTCATTTGTTCTTTAGTACCCCTTTAATATAGCATAACATGGTTGTGTCATAATTTATTCAGCCATTTCTTTATAAACATTCAGGTATCATTTTTGTATTTTATATACATTCGGGTATTTTTGCTATTACATATAGCATATATATATATGCTCTAAGCACTATAATCCTTGTACATGTATACTTAGAGAATTTATTCTTTTGTGTAAATTTTCGTAAATGGGGTTGCTTCTCAACTTCATGAGCAGTTTAGATTTTTTTTTTCCTTTTTGTCTTTTTTTGTGTCTGGCAACGGATCGCAACCCTCAGTGTCGCGCCCGTACTGGACCAGGACCGGCAATGGGATTGCAACCCTCAGTGTTGCGCCCGCACCTCGCTCAGCCAGTGAGTGGGAACCGGTCTGTATGTGGGATCCGAACCCTCGGCGGGAGTGCCGCCATGCTCCCAAGCGGCGCACTGTAGCAGTGCGCCACCGGGCCGGCCCCAGCAGTTTAGATTTTAATAAACACTGTCATATGTGTTAAAAGGTTTGTGATAATTTATACTTCCACCAAAAGGGTAGGAAAACACTGGTTTTCTGCATCCCTACCAGTGTTGCTTATAATTATTTCTTGCCAGTCTGATATGCACAGTGTTCAAGTTGTCATTTCTCTGTTTACTTGTGAATTTGAACATGTTTTACAGGGCTTACTCGCCTTTTGCTTTTTCTTTTCATATTCTTGGTCCATCTGGCAGGGGGGTTGTGTGATATGTCCTTTCCATATCAATGTGTAGTGGTTCTTTATATGGGAGGATACCAATAACAATAAAATAGCTAATTAACTCACTGAATTCTCACAGATCCTGTGCCTGGAGGGGTATTATAGTTTAAGAAGGTGAAGCCACATGTTAAGAGGTGAGACCTCAGCAGTCTGGCCTCTGAACCCCTGCTCTAACTGCTGCACCCTGCTGTCTCCAGGGATGAGTTGGGGTTTCCTGTTGGAGTGACAAAGACTCCTCAATATTACTATTAGTATTTTTTTAGTAGTATTGTTTTTTCTTCTTTTTTTAATTTATTGAAACATAATTGATTATATATATGGAGTACAGCATAGAATATCAATACATGTGTAGAATATGTGATCTAAAATTAGGATAATTAATATATTTAACATTACACAATATAATCTTTTTTTGTGGCCCTTTACCAATTTCTTGCTACCCCTGCTCCCCCCTCCTCCTTTCCACCTCTGATGACCTCAGTTCTGTTCTCTTTATTTATTTCTTTATTTTTTTTAGCTCCCACTTATGAGTGAGGACATGTGGTATTTCTCTTTTTGTGACTGGCTTATTGTACTTAAGATAATTTTCTCTAAGTTCATCCATTTTGCTGCAAATGGGAGAATTTCATGCTTTTTTATGTGTAAGTAGTATTCCATTGTGTATATATTCCACATTTTCCTTACCCACTCATCTGGTGATAGATGTTTAGGTTGGTTCCAACTCTTGGGTGGCTTACTCGCCTTTTGCTTTTTCTTTTCATATTCTTGGTCCATCTGGCAGGGGGGTTGTGTGATATGTCCTTTCCATATCAATGTGTAGTGGTTCTTTATATGGGAGGATACCAATAACAATAAAATAGCTAATTAACTCACTGAATTCTCACAGATCCTGTGCCTGGAGGGGTATTATAGTTTAAGAAGGTGAAGCCACATGTTAAGAGGTGAGACCTCAGCAGTCTGGCCTCTGAACCCCTGCTCTAACTGCTGCACCCTGCTGTCTCCAGGGATGAGTTGGGGTTTCCTGTTGGAGTGACAAAGACTCCTCAATATTACTATTAGTATTTTTTTAGTAGTATTGTTTTTTCTTCTTTTTTTAATTTATTGAAACATAATTGATTATATATATGGAGTACAGCATAGAATATCAATACATGTGTAGAATATGTGATCTAAAATTAGGATAATTAATATATTTAACATTACACAATATAATCTTTTTTTGTGGCCCTTTACCAATTTCTTGCTACCCCTGCTCCCCCCTCCTCCTTTCCACCTCTGATGACCTCAGTTCTGTTCTCTTTATTTATTTCTTTATTTTTTTTAGCTCCCACTTATGAGTGAGGACATGTGGTATTTCTCTTTTTGTGACTGGCTTATTGTACTTAAGATAATTTTCTCTAAGTTCATCCATTTTGCTGCAAATGGGAGAATTTCATGCTTTTTTATGTGTAAGTAGTATTCCATTGTGTATATATTCCAC